AAAAAAAAGGAAGAACAGTAACAGTCTATTTACATCTAAACTAACGTGACAGATGCTGTATACAGCATGTTTACGAATCATGAGATAAAGCATGTAGATGTTTGTTACAACGCTCTGCTTTTGTGATGTTAGCACTCTTCTAATGATCAAGATTCAACCCAAGCCAACCACGAAAAAGTAAGCAAAAAAAAAAACACTAAAGACGACAATAGATACATTGAAGGGATAGGATATGATATGCCACAATTTAACCAAATTTCACATTGGCAAATCACGTGAGTGATCATGATTCATAAGGAATAATTCATCATTAACTGAAAAGACTCGTTTTGAGGTGAAACGAACGAATTCTGAAATTAAACATGCTCCGTGTGGAGCATGGTTGTCATGCCGGTAGAATATCGGCTGGTGAACACAACCGGTATGATTGATATACGGCCTCTAAGAAAAATGACATCGTTTTAGTGAACTTAATTAATAAAAGTTAACTATTTATTTATAATTTAAATATTAATTTTATATGTTGGATTCAAGTATAAACGTTTAGGTATTGAAGCGTTAAATGTTGTATTTTAACTGTAAGCATTTATTTTATTTTATGTGAAATGTCATATTTTATTTAAATATGAATATAGATTGTAAGTAAATTATCTTCAAATATATTTTGTATATGAATCAATTCATTTGATGCTTATGATTTTTCACATCTTTACATATTTTGTTAAATTGACATGAACCGACACAAATCGATTGTACCACTGGTCAAACCATTCGACTTGATAAACCGATACAACGGTATAAACTAGTTTAACAACCTTGATCCGGAGTCATGCAAAGATGAATGACCTCTATAGCAATACAAGATATATGACCTCCTGAAAAATCATCACGAAACAACCTAAAAGCAAAACCGCATATGAAAAGAACTCACCATGAAACCATGTCAAAAGCAAAAACCGTGCCGAGATATACCCAAAGCAAACATTATCTTTATAGAAAAGAGCCGAAATTAACTTGCTAATTCACCTGCAGATACATAGTGGAGTAACATTGGTTCCCAAAGATCCATCAATTATGTTTGCAGATAATTAAACCAATAGAAAGCGTGGAGGACAACACGCCTCACCTACCCTACAATCGTAGAAGGGGAGTGGTCTTGATCGACCTCAAAACACTGCAAAAATGTAATCTTATTTGTAGGGCTATAAGGATGATACTAAATACCCTGCTCCGACCCGACTATGACCTTCAGAGTCGAGATGGGTCAGTTATTTACAGGGGTTCGGATAGGGTTAGTGTTAGTTTAGGATTGGGTCACTTTGATCCTATGACTCATAATGTCTTGAAATATTGGACTTGTTTGTAAACTTTTAAATGGTTAGGTACTATAACGTAAGAGATAAAATATAAAGGTATCCAAATATAATTTTCCACCAAATTTTTTAGACCAGTTTGTACAAAAATTAGGTACTAAATTGTAAGAAAAATTAATTTTGGGTACCAAAATGCAATTTTCTAAAAGCAATTGTGATGCATAGGGTCGACCCTCTGACCCGTCCCTACTTGACCCGACCCTAATGGGTCAGACTGGGTAAAAAAGAAATGAGGGGCGAGGCGGGTTAGACAGGTTCAGGGTCGATTTTCAGCCCTATTAACAAGTGTCATATGTCAAAGCTGAAGAAATTAGTTTCAACATGGCATTCGGTCTCCTTTAATCAGATCCAATGTCAGCTTGATCCTTTTTTCATTCGATATGAGCTTATCCAAACTTCATATTCGTCCAATGCAATCCTGTATTGACCAATCCGTTACACACCTCTAGTCCTCTACACACGGAATCCGGTATGGACCAATTCGGTCAGCCAGAACCAGAAACCATGGTTCAAGCACACGTCTGAGTGACCAGCCAGCCGACCACTGCACATCTGGAAATTAAGATTCTTAATACGTTTCTATTTTCTTTCTTAATATAAGTTTAGACCGGCCGCCTACCCACCAATGGTGCAAAAGAATTAGGCGGGTAGCCGCTAATTATTAATTAATTAAATGGGGATAAAGATTACAATGCCCGTCTTTCCTGCTCTTTAATTATGATTAATCATTGGCTCTGTTGCCTACCAAATAAATAAACAATGCAAATTTTCCTCCGTTTCGGCCAGTCCAGAACGGCAAATTCTTCCTTTTTCATGGTTGATTTTTTTAATGTTCAATTATTAATTGCCTTAATTAATCCCTTTTTCCCAGTAGGAGGAAATGAAGACAAGGGAGGTGGAACATGCATGCCAAGTATTAGTGTTAGTATTACTATTATCAATTATAGAAGATGATAATTAAAGCATCATTAAGTCCACCCCATTATGAAGGTCAAGTTGCTGAGCCTGCTAATTAACTAGTTAAATAGTAATTTACGGCATTAATTAACAATGCAAATGTCGGTCATCTGTATGATATATCCATGACGATCTGTCGTTGGATTTGGTGAACTACTTTTGACGGATATATGGGACGTGCTATTTATTGGTTTTGGAGAATTTTCCTCCTCAACAAGAGAGCCGTAAAACTAACTTTCTCTAACTACATACCATGTTCATGAAAAGTGCAAGATCAAAATCCATATATATTCATGAAAATTACTAAAAAAAACACTTTGTACCACATGTAATTTTAAGAGCGTAATTGATCGATAAAAGCATTGGTATATGAAATTCGATACCATGAGACATGAGCTTTGATCATTCATAATGGTCTGAATGTCTTGATTGCTTTAGTCCTGTTAGCCCGGTTATATAAAAAAAAAGTAATTATATTGTGGGTATAATTTTAAGATGCAAAATCACAAACCAAATGGAAAAACAACGTCGTGTTACCTCCAGCCCGAAAACATTGTTGCGAATCAACTCGCAAATTTGTGGCACTCGTTTTTCTAATCGGGTTCGGGACAAACTGGGTCGGCATGCGAGATCACGACCTTAAATTGCATAAATGAGATACAAGCTCGTTGAAATTTTACTTAAAACTTTTAATCAACCTGATCTACAAACTCGTTTTAACCCGACAAATAAAAAAAATCGTTATAACCCATTAATCAATCAAGGCAAAACATTGATTTTCACCTGTACGTGGGTATACTTGGTTGGTTGTAAATCAAAGGAAGTTATTATTGGCGAAACAGACTTCACAAATTTGCTAGGAAAAAAGAAAAACTGGGATCATTGAAGGAGAGTCGACCTCAAAATTGAGGGTGGACGAGGTAATCTAAGAAGAAGAAGATAGATAGATAGGATAATGATGAACAAAAGTAAGGTCCAGTTCTAGGCTTAGTATCAGCACAAAATGGAAAACTGTGGATAGAGAGAGAGAGAGAGAGAAGGGTGATTGTGACGACGATGATGGAGTATGTCGGCCATTTTTGTCAGTTATGTTATGTGAAAGGGAAGATCAACGTGGCGGCCGTCCCCTGACGACAGACTAGCTGCCAAGTCGGAGCCCAGGCCCAAAACGCACACCACCTCTTCTCCTCTCTTCTTCTTTACCCATCCCCTACCCTTCCCTTTCTAATTGCTGCAACTTTTAGTAAGTTTTAACTCCAACAGTCGACATATACAATTTCGATTTTTTTTTTGTCAAAATACTATTTCTATTATTATTCCTATTAAACTTATAATTGTGAGCACAAATCACCTTTTAAAATTTTAAATTATTATTTTACATTTTTAGGTCACGAAAACCTTTTTTTTAGGGAAAATACAGTTGTATATCCACAACTATCAAATATATCCACCACTATTGAAATACACGAAGGGGTCGTTTGGAAGTTGCGATTGTTGAATAATGTATTGTTGAGAATGCATGCAAATATTATACATGTATTGTCGAATTTGATGCATTATAGAATACAACGTTTGATATGTGTGATTGTGTATGTCGCATCAGCTAAAAGTTGAGACAAAACAATCTCAACTCAACTATCTTTACAATCACAACTAAAAGTTGAGATACAACAATCACTCAAAATGAGTGATAGTTTCTGTCACATCATAGAAACAATCCATGTATTGTTTGTGCTAAAAAAACGATGCATTGTAAACAATACATGCATAATGACAATCTCAACAAAACAATCGCAACTTCCAAACGACCCCGAAATATCCATTTTCGTCCACTCCGTTAACTCCATAAGTTATAGTTTCATACGGAAGTGGATAGATTTGTCACACAACCTTTGGAATTTTGGATATTTCGTGTATTTCGATAGTTGTGGATATATTTGTCACAAACCTGATAGTTGTGGATATGCAGCTGTATTTTGCCTTTTTATGTAAATCACTTTTAACTTACAAGGGTAGTCAAAATTTACGATTTGAATATTAAAAACTTACGTTATTCAAGATCATCAAAACAATTCTACTTAGAATCATAATTTTGATTGCAAGGCTTGTGAGTACTCTATTCAATCCGATCAATGTCAAAACGAGTAAAATTTTGATACTAATGGATTTTTTATTAAGGTGCTGGTTAAAATTCGCGTTTGGAATCGACGAGTTCGGTTGTGGTGAATTTGATCAAAACTCAACCCGTTTTCTGTCCAACCACAGTATGTAAAAGAAAAACTTTTCATGTTGCATCTAAAACTGATAATATGAATAATTTTATTGTTATTAAATATCTTTATAGTAACATAATTATGATCATATGGATAATTATTGATGTTATTAGTGTTTACATAACAATATATTTGGAAAAAAAATCTAACTATTTTTATTATATACCACTAAATTATATTTTAGTTTGGAAAACCCCAAATTGCCATCATTAACTCCTATCAACAAAATTACTTGCTCATATAGTTCACTTTCATAAAATTAATGAAAAAATTGACGTGAATCGAAAATAACCTCAAGCTTATATAGGGAGCGGTCTTTTATTTTTTGGTGGTAGTGGGGATAAATGACACAAATATTGTGTTTTTTTTTAATTTTATCACCAATATGATGGATTAAAAAGTATTGACATGTTTATTGTGTTTTTGTGTAGAGTCAGAGGCGGGGCCGCTGGAGACTCAGGTGGGACCGCCTTTGGAAACTTTTGAACCAGTCTACAACGCCCCCGCCTTCACCTCTCTAATTTATTTTAAAAAGCGCCACGGGCCATCCTCTTCCTTATATTATTTTCTTCTTCTTCTTCCTTCCCCCTCTCAAACCAGAGACTCCGCCAAGCAATCCCGGCGCAGTCACAGTCGTCGCCGCCGAAGAGCCAGGCGCCACCGCCGTTGACAGAAGCGCCACCGCCTGAGTTCGACGGAGATGTCATCCGACGAAGAAGAAGTTGTCGCCGGCAGAGGCAGGGGGAGAGGCCGGCCAGGTCATGGAGGTGGCGTCCGTTTTTGCAGTGAGGGTCTCGCCGACAGCGGGGTTTTTTTATTAATGTTTAGTGTTTCTTTAATTAATGTTTTTGTTGCTTTGCTTTTGCAGTTCATAGGCTTATGGACCCTTATTCGAAGAGACTACCGCCGCGCGACAATTGATCCAGCGCTGGTCGATCCGGTACTTCTTTGGGGACATGGCCAACATCGTATCGACTTAGTTTGGGCAAACAAGGTAAGTATTTGATAATTATTCATGTAAAGTTAATTTGCTAATTAGATTATTTTAGTTGGTGAACTGAACTGTACTGAATTTAGAATAGGATTACGTATCAAATTTTTTACATTAGTATAATTTGAGATTAGATTAGATAGATTAGAATTTATTAGGTGAAATTATAATTATTACGAATGAAATTGAATTAATTTAAGTTTTGTGCACTATAGGCTGGTGATCGATCTTACCATGTTCGAGGTACGACCAATTTAGTGACGTACCATGAGCTTTATCGGCCATATCTCGAAGTGGCTGGTTTGTTTAGTGTTTCGTCCCTGGTCCCTATGAACTCTGATGCGAGTTTGATTACTGCGCTCGTAGATCGGTGGCGACCCGAGTCCTCGACCTTCCATTTACCGTTTGGTGAGGTCACGATCACGTTAGAGGACGTTGTGATACTGTGCGGTTTGGCGATCGACGGTGATGCCGATGTTATTCATGGCTTCATAGAGTCCTGCATGTCTATCTGAGATGATGCAGACATCATTTCGATCAGTCAAACCCTGAACGTGACTTATGAACCATGGCCAACTATCAGTATTCTCGTTCTCCACTATGGCAAATGCAATTGGAAAAATCTTATTCCGGCCATCGAATGAGCTCGCCATGAGTAGCACTCCTTTATACTTTCCAGTAAGAAATGTTCCATCAACAACCATGACACTTGGAAAATTCTTGAATCCATCTATACAAGGTCCATAAGCCCAGAATACTCGCTGAAATATCGAATGACCTGGTTGAGTCGAATGAACTCTTACCCAATCAATCACCAATGTTGGCATTTTCTCTTGACCACCCGCAAGAATGTTTGCAAATAATCGTAGGATTCTTCCCAATTTCCATGCAACTTCTCCAATGCTCTTTGTTTCCCATACCAAGCCTTCTTGTAAGTAACTTGCATATTAAACTTATCTTTCAACTCGGCCTGCACAGTTAGAACACTCAGATTTGGTTGAGCACGTACCAAATGTTAGTCGGCCTCAAATATCATGTCAACATCAAGATGTCGATGATCCGTCGGTGAGTCGTACTGCTACAAGAATGCACCAACTCAGCCTTTCTCACAGTCCATTCACCTCCAACATCTCGACATCAAAACCGCACCATCAAAGGACAATTGTCATCCTTGTGCCTCAAGCATCTGACCTCCAGATTGAAGGTGACGACTCCACCACGCCATATTAAAAGTTGCGTTGTAGTGAGTGGTTTTTAATCGCCATCTGTGCATCTTGTTTCGAGCGAAATATCTGCCCCTTGTAGAATTCTCCTTCAAAACTAGCAATAGGCATTGGAATTATGCCATTTGAAACGGCAAGTGATAATTCGTCGTCCTCTTCATTACCCTGCAAGTAAAAATATGGTGGATAATTAGGCTGCTCTCCTCCCCCCTCTTCTTCCTCCTCCTCCTCCTCCTCCTCCTCCTCCTCTCCATCATCACCGTCATCATAGTCATGATCGGATGGCACACTTCATGTATCATCTTCTTCCTCTCCACCCTGATCCTCACTGAGCTCAACATGTATCTCAGCACCCAAACAATAAGGATTTTGTGGCATAAAATTGCAAAGCACATTCAAACTATCATCATCCATAATAGGCATCGCATAATGAAATAAAACACCATTCTGGCATTCTGGAAGACGGTAAGTAAAACCTGTGATCACATCACTATCTTGTACTGCTTCGTCTCTACGTCGTATTCTCGGAATTAGATTCTCACAAAGTTTGTGATATGTGACCCTGGATGGGACCGTCAACTGAAAACTACTACCACCAACAAATTTGACGCCCAAATTATCCTCTACTTTCTCCGATTTCCACCGAACGACTAGTTCAAATCTTCTAAAATCACTACAGAAAAACAAACTCACTAATTAAAACTAAACACAATCATAATAGCATTTGAATAATACAATTAAAAAAATAAATGTGTCTCTTACCTATTAGCTATTTTTGCAGCAGCAACCAGAGCTCTCCTCTATCTTCGTCGATTTTTTTGTGGTGTGAATAACTGAAACGAAATTCGCTGGTTTTATAAGGGGGTAGCCAACAATAAGCCAGCGGATTCGCCATAGTCCTGGGCGCCAGCGCCAGGTACAAATTCCCACTGATTCAGCTTAGCCTCAGGCGGTACCACCTCAGTCTTGGGCGTCACCGCTGTCACCTTTAAACAAATGATCCAAAAAAACAGAAACAACGACAGCGCCTGAGTCTCAGGTGATCCTGCTGGTTTTTCTCTCCAAAATACAATAACCGTGTTAGTACTTTTTAATCCGCCATATTGGTGGTAATTTAAAAAAAACAATATTTCTTTCATTAATCCTGGTAGTGGTCCCTTTTCTGTAAGTGAAAATAAAAATTCATCAAACCAACAATAATTAAAATAAATATCCACTCCCATCCACCCCCACAATTTTTATAAAGCAAAATCCTTTCCCTCGTCCCACCGCTCTTTTCTTTATCAATTAATTTCCCAAATATATTCAATCGAACCTCTCTCTCTCTCCCTCTCCCCTCTTAACCCTTCCCCTCGACTGCCCTCGAGAATCTTCAATCCCTCGAATTTCTCCGCCCCTCTTTTTATTTAGCTCTTCCAATTCCTCTTTTCTCCCCTCCCTCAAATTTCTCAAACATGGAAGGACGAGTCCACTGCTGTTCCGGCGATTCCGCCACCACCACCACCTCCTCCACCGGCGAGAAGCGTAAGCACGGCGGCGGCGGCGGGGGCAGGACCCAGGCGGAGAAGCCGTACAGGGGGATAAGGATGAGGAAGTGGGGGAAGTGGGTCGCCGAGATTCGGGAGCCCAATAAGCGGTCCAGGATCTGGTTGGGCTCGTACTCCACCCCCGTCGCCGCCGCGCGGGCCTACGACACGGCCGTCTTCTACCTTCGTGGGCCCACGGCCCGGCTCAACTTTCCCGACCTAATTCTCCAGGAGGACCAGCTCCGCGGCGACGACGTCTCCGCCGCCAGCATCCGCAGGAAGGCCACCGAGGTCGGCGCGAAAGTCGACGCCCTTCAGAGCTCTTCCGCCGCCGCCGCTGCGGTCCACCACCATACACCCACCTCGTCCTCCGGCGCCGAGGACAGCCACACCACCACCGCCTCCGCCGCCAGACCGCCGCCGCAGAAGCCGGATTTGAACGAGTATCCTAATCCTGAAAATTCCGACGACGAGGAGGATTAAGGCGGTGAATTCGGTAGCAGCGGAAGATGAGCTTTTTCTTAACTGTCCATAATTTCCCACTTTGCCCCTTTGTTTAATTCTCTATATCGCTTGTTGTTTTTTTTTTTTTTTTATTACTTACGTATACAGTAGTTTTTTTTTTCTTTCTTGTTTTTGTATTTGGGTTTGATGATATATCTTTTTGGGTAGCCTCCGGCGGCCGGAGGAAGGGATTTTGGCGGCCGGAGGAAGGGAAATCAAGAGGAGAAGAGGGGGGGATTGTTGTTTAGGTTTGCGGTGGAGAAAGGGGAGGAATGGAATCAAAAACAGGGGTTCTGTTTCTCTGTCTTTTACATAAGATGTAATAGCACCATAGTACACAGTAAGTAGCTTAGATGAAGAAGAAGAAGGAGAAAAAAAAAAAAGTAGCCTAGCTTACTCTTCAACTTCTCCTCCTTTTAGTAAAATTTGCAGTCCATTTTCCGATTAGTGGTTTGGATTTCTGTTTATTGCTAGAAAATGAATTGTTTCCTTGAATTCGTCCCTCGAATCGCTGCTAAATAAAATAGTTTGGCATCATATGGCAAATGGGCATGAATCCAAACAAATTTCTGTTTCGAGAAACCTGAGGCTTCATATTTTAGTTAATTTGAGGGCACTTGTCCTCAATTGTAGTGAATGGGAAATGGGATTTTGAAAATCCTCCAAAGATTCGAGTTTGTGTTGGCTTAAAGAGGGGATTTAACAAACACCGTTGATATATATCCTTTGAGAGGGAAATGACCGAACAGGACTTCTCCTCTTGGTCGGTCGGGTTCCTTGGGTTTGGGAGGATGAGACAAATCCTAACTACCCGCTTATGTGATTATGGAGTTCGGGTATTAGCCATTAGGTAAGGGTCGAGAAAAAATGGTATGTGGTATTTAGCAGTTTTAGCATAGAATGTATTTAGCGATCCTTAGATGATTTGTGGCGTCTGATGTATCTTTTCTAAAATCTTAATTTACTCGAGTATTTACCCGGAAATATAAGGGTCTGAATGACCGACATACTATTACTCGTACTACACATCCTTTAGAATTTATTAGTTGGGTGGATATTGATCACCAATGCATAGAGAGGGAGAGGGAGAGGGAGAGAGAAATGAGTATGATCTAGGGGGAATGAAAGAATGAAGAGACAAAGGGGAGGAAAGCTAAGATAAGGAGATAAGATAGCGGCCGTGGGGAGGATGAGAGGAGTTGGGCTTCCTTGCTTGGGACAGCGAAGCACAGCACACCATGGCATGAAAATATATTAGACAATAGTACGGAGTTGGAAGAAAGTTCAGGCAATGAAAAGAAACGTTTCAATTGATAGTCAAACCGGGTTCAATTGATCGATGATCGGTTGGAATGTCATCGGTTTTAAAAGTGATCGTCAAAATCGATCAATGTTTGTTAAACTATATAAAAAATAGGTTAATATCTTATTTTGGTCCGAACTATGACCATATAATCAACTTTGGCACGTGGTTTCAGAAATTAACATCATGTCCTCAACTATACAGCATATAGAATCAATTGGCCCGACACATGGTTAGACCGTCAATTTGGATGGTCAACATCGTTGACCGTTAGTCAACATGCCATGTCATTGCCTTGTCAGCCTAAAAATCATTAAAAAAATTCAAATTCAAATTCCAATTATTTTTCTAATTTCTATTATTTATCATTTTTCAAATTAATCAAAAAATAAAATATAAAAAATAAAATAAAATTTATATTTTATTTTATTTTATGGGATATTTGAAAATGATAAATTATAAAAATTAACCAAAAATTATCGAATTAAATTTTATAAATTTAAAAAATGTGATATAAATTATATATTTTATTTTATGGATAATTTTTAAAATATAAATAATTTGATAATTTTTTGTTAATTTATAAAATTTATCATTTTCAAATTACCCAAAAAATAAAAAATAAATTTATTTATGTTTTTATAATTTATTTTTGGTTAATTTGATAATAAATAATAAAAATTGTAAAAATAATTAGAATTAGAATTTTTGAATGATTTTTAGGCTGACGAGGCAATGACATGGCGTGTTGACTAACGGTCAATGGTGTTGACCATCCAAATTGACGGTCAAACTCTGTGTCGGCCAATTGAGTCTATATGTTACATAGTTGAAGCCAAGATGTTAATTTATGAAACAACGGACCAAACTTGATTATATGGTATAGTTCATGCCAAAATAAGGTATTAACCCATAAAAAAAGCTAATGATCTAATCGGTATGTTCAATTTTCTTCTCATAAACAAAATAACGTCTTTTTGGTGCATTTGATTAACAAAACGATATATTTGAATACGAAGATTTTTTTTTCATTACTCTTTCTATTAATATTAGTTTATTTGATTGATTCAAGTATTTATATTTTGATATCGACCATCAATGTTTATAGTTTTGTATTTTATTTAAATACGAATGTAAAATTATAGGAGATCATCTTGAAATAATTTATCTGTATACGTGATTTATTTTCTTTTAATATTTTTCTAATTTTTATATATATATATATTGTAAAATAAATATAAAGTCATAAACCAATTATCTCATAATCGAATCACTTCACTTGTTAAATCGACTTAAATAGTATAAACCGATTCGACAACGTTGTAACTCTGTCTTCTGTATTCGTGGACAGTGGACACCACCACCATGCGCTTCCCATTTCATTTACCCACACACTCACTTATTCTTTGAGGGATCCGCCAAAAGAACTGTGATGATGATGTGATTAATCTATTTATTAGGTATAACAAAGAAAAATATAAAAACAAAGAAAGGAAAAAGATTATATAATGGGAGGAGATGAGGGCAAGTGGTGATAATGGTGGAACTCAATCAAAGAGAGAGAAAGATGGTGTCGCCGTCACGATGAGAGAGAGAGAGAGAGAGAGAGAGTTGATGGCAGTGGCAATGGCAAAGCCTTTTGTCGAGTGGAGAGATGTTGATGGATGACGGACGGTGGGCGGTGGGTTGCGTTTTCGTTTCTCCCTTGTTTCTTCCTTTTTTATTTTTTTTCTTTCGTCTTTCTTAGTTCTTTTTTATCCAAAATGTTCAATTCAACCCTACTCATTCAAATTCGTGATTCCGCCACTGATTTTGAGGTAAAAGTTCTTCATAAGCCCTATAGTCAAATTAGCGAATTATAGGCGTTAATTTTCTGAATCTTAAATCCTCAAGATCGATCACACCGAGAACAATGATTGATGATTCTGATTTGTCGATATGTATATCCGACATTACCATACGCATCACACTAACGTTTAGAGATTCAAGGTATATGGTTTAGTCGCTCGATTCATGGGAGAAACTCAGCAATCTATCCGTCACTTCAAAAAATTAATAATCGAATTTGTACATATTTCAAAAGATTTGATTATTTATTTAAAAACTTGAAAATTCTGGTTATTTGAGTTGTATTAACCCTTATAATTACTTTAGACTCATTTACTACTCTATTACTCCCAGTTTGGGTTTCTCTATTAGGGTATTTTTTGTTGTTGCTTCGGTTGAAAGCATCTCAGATCAAACCACCAACTCAAATTATTATATCACAATGCACTCATATGGACATTATTATGTATCTAATTGGTAGCTTGCTGCGAACATTTACATTAGATGGGAATAAAAAGCGCCTGTGCCGACATCCTATAATTATGCTACGTCCCACAAACAGTCTCCGATATTAAAATTTGGTGTGGGTAAGGACGCAAGCTAATGCATAATTTGATGTTCAAAGAGAGGGTACTTACTGGTTCTATTTCTATATATGATTAGCTTATGGAGAAGAACAAAAATATAAATAAAGTACCAAAACTTTGAATATTGCCCGAAATAGGTAGTATATCTCAATAACCAAAACAATAATTGGAGTTGTTGAGAGAGGCTCATAGATGCATGTTAACCACTTACTTTCACGTTCTTTCAAACGAAAATCAACTTATGAGCTTGAAGTTTGCACAAGTCTAACATACCATGTGCTTTAAAACAACAGTTGATATTTGATGAACATGTGGTTGGTCTAGTGATACTACCGTTGGAATTCGACCCAGAGGGTCTCAGGTTTGTATATCTTAATTAAGTAGCATCTACCGATAAAAAAAACAAACTTTTATCACCGTTATATAAAAAGAAAAGACAACGATTGATATTTGGGTCATGAGTACTTGAACACTTGACCTCATGACCAAATAAACATGCTCTAGTACAGTATTAAGAATGAACCGGTCATCAATAACTCGAGTTTTTCGGAAAAGATCCATGTGTGGATCTTAACAACTTCCTTTCAGTATAGTCTGAATGTGATCTTGTTCTCTTTGTCCTTAGCCTTCGATTTTGTTTTCAAAAGAACCCAAACATCTAAATTACCCACACTTACCTATCAAATTATATACTCATCAATTGATGAGCATTGCTTGTTCTTGATACGATATCATAATTTTTGTTTTCATCCATCTCCTGTTTGAATCCAAACATCTCCCATCAACATATCATTTCAATACTATCGACATACGACTGGCGTACACATGCAAACTTCAAGGTCTGTGGTTGAAATTTATCTTAAGAAAAAACGAACCGTATCAAATACATTCTCGCGTATCATGAACGATTCAAATCAATTGAAACCAAACTAACTTGCATCTAAAGACATTGTTGTACACCCCCACCTTTGGTTAATCAGCTACCAAACTATATATTGGTGTAATCATCTGGCAGTGGTGTTGCTTTAATAACCATATTATATAATCATATTTTCAAATGTTTGCCAACTTGGGACCATTTGTGATGAGGGTTTTGGTTCTAGCTTGTGGAGGTACCTTAAAGGCTACATGTAGAGTACAGCTAGATTAATTATCATTATTGTATATCCAAGAATACTTTTAAATAAAACATAATGGTGATTAATTCATATATGCATAGGCGGCTGGCCGTATTAAACATATAATATTAATGGTGATTTCGACTGCCAATAATATGATCAATAACACAATATATATACATAGGAGATTATTAGTATATATGATACAATTATACAAATGAATGGCGACGTGCAGTGTTGGGTTTGGATTTGGGGACCATATGTAAGGTAAGCTGATGACCGACCTCCTTCCACTTGTATGAAAATTGTTTCACCACTTTGTTTGTGTTTGGACGGTTGCTTGCTTTGGCTGCAACTTCTTTTTATTTATTTATATACAATGGGGGTCATGCTGGTACAGGTATCAACGGAGTCGGATGGATAGTGCATATAATCAATTAATAGTTCGAGTTTTATTCATATTCATATTCTCACAAGAATTGAGTAGAAGATTTAAAATTATTCACATACTCGTTTAGAGTTTCAGGTATATGGTTATTTATGAGTAGTAAACTTTTTTTGATAAGGGTGAAAATTTCATTAAAAGAAAAGAAACAAAGGCCACATAACCCAGTTCAGTACAAAGAGCAAAGGGAAAGGTGAAAACAGACACGAGCACAAGCGGTGCATCCCAAATCCAGACCCAAAAGCGAAAAGGAAAAATAAAATAAATAGGAGCAAAAAGACAGACTGAGAACCCCCAAACCAGAGAAAATAAAATCCATCACTCCCAAACCAAGACAAACCTACCAAACAACCTACAGCACCTGAAGAACAGACCCAAGAGGGGCAGAAGCTAGACAGCAGCAGCTAGGCAGCAGCAGCAGCTCGACAACAAACACACCGCCCATCACTAGTCGCCCACGACCCATCACCAGCATCCATGAAACCGAGCAGCAGCAGCGCTAGTAGAAGGGGAGGAGAGCGACAGAGCGCTAGACCGCCCTGAACAAGGACCGCCAATGCCAATAGAAAAAGCTTAAAGCTCTCAGGCCACACACAGAACAACATCAGAACAGGAGAACAAACACCCAACACAACCAGCAGGAGCAAAAAGCTTGAACGCCATGAAACCTTCAACCCCAAACTGCAGGGCCTCCTTCAAATCCCAGTCAAATTATCCCGAAA